CTAACCTTCCCCTGACAGACAGCACATTTTTGTGCTATCACAGTTAAACTGCTTTTGGTACCTGGGCACCTCCAGTCTCCACTCAGTGTGGGCTTTAGAATGTAAATCATAACACAAACCAAAGTGGGCTGTTGCTGTTTTTGTTGTGTTCTCACAACTAAACAGCTAAAAATACACCAAATAGTATGGCTGTAAAGCAGTGAAAACTAGCAACCATATATTTGTATTTTGAGAGAAATTAGGGCTATTATGGCTGCTCCAGACGGGCTTCCTACAGGAGCTGGGTGGATAATTTCACTGGGTGCTTCATGCACCAGAGCTCTGACCATCTGCTGAAGGGAACATACCTTTTAACAACATGTCTCGTTTTGGCTCCGTGCCTTCAGGGCCACCTCCCTACACAGGCACTATTTCAGTGCTTAATTACATTTACTGTTAAAAAGGACAACTTATTTTTAGTGCCTGTCTTTCCAGTATCAGCTGGTGGCCACGGAATATTCCGCTGCCTGTGTGTGCCCATGGGAAGCAGAGTGTTTCAATCAGCCTGGGAATTATGTAGGCCATTGGAGCTGATGGCCCAGGGTAGCTCTAAGCTGTCTTGTATTTAAGAAAAAAAATTATTCATGTGTGAACAAACAAATGAAGGGGAATAGGAACAACTGATACTTCAGCTTAACCTAGTTTCCTCCTTTTGGCACTGGCTGGCACACTCAGTGCTTTGGCTCACCTACTTCTTTACTATCAGTAGTAGAAATTATAACACTTGCAATTTTAGCATGCAAATTATGACTTTGTAATACAATCAACATTTTTCTTAAGTATTGTTTTTTGTTTACAGCTTTTTCTTTCAACTGCAAAAGAACATAAAGCTGCCCTTCCAAAAAGACTGAATTAAATGGCTGATTATGTCCTTCCACTTTTCCACACCCACAATTTCCCCCACTGTTTTTTGGCCCAATGTAGCAAAGTGGGACCTGTAAAAGTCCAATCTAGGGCACAAAAGAACATTTATTTATTCCTGGGAGACTTGAAGGGGTGGACTCTTATTTATAAACTTACCTGCCCTTCCTTTGCATATGGATTTACCTGGATAAATTCATTTAGACCATGCCAACAGCTTGCTGAAAAGATCAGGCTCTTGCTGATAGCTCTGAGCACGCTGCTCTTGTGTCCTCCCATGGCCAGATAAACATGAACATCTGCATTGCCCCTGTAAAAACAGCAATGAGGATATTAATGAAACTGGGGGAGAGAACTGGGACGAGGCTCCAGTGCTCACATCCTCCTGGAAATCTCTCCCCAGGACCTCCCTCTGAAGGCAGACACTTGGATGGCTTTGAGAACCTGAGCTGAGATCATTTTGAGGGAGCTGCTGGCATTTCCCCAAATACACCCATCCATAGAGAAGCCAGTGTAGGATTTCACAGCACACCAGGTGCTCAGGCCAGGCATGGACTTTTGGGGAACTTGTGAGGGGAGAGAAATCGGGCAACGCTGGGGATTGCAACTCAGGTCATGGAATCATGGAATACCCTGAGTTGGAAGGGTCCCCAGGGATCATCAGTCCAACTCCAGGCCCTGCACAGGACATCCCAACAATCAGGAAGGTCCCCCTGAGCCTCCTTTTCTCCAGGCTGAGCCCTCTTATCTCCCTCAGCTGCTCCTGGTGCTCCAGACCCTTCCCCAGCTCTGCTCCCTTCCCTGGACACACTCCAGCCTTTCAATATCCTTCTTGTCCTGAGAGATCCAAAACTTGTCACCCCTTTGTCTCATAACCAGCGATGGTCAAAGACCAGTTTCCCAGGGGCACATGGCTGTGGTGTGGCAGAGCTTGGTTGTGCCCAGGCAGTGTGTGACCCCCGTGTCCCCCGCTGGCCATGCCGCCCCTTTTATGCCTCAGCATCACGTGCTGGGTGAGCGTCTGCCCCTCCGCTATCCCCAGCACACACCCCCGAGGTCCCAGCACCCACCAACTCCCAGCATCTGTGCCGCTTGCTTGGCCTCTTTTCCTTTATGCTGCTCCCCTCCGCCGTCGTGTGACAGCTATTGTGTGGTCCCTGCCGCACAAAAGCCAGCCTGACCTAATTTAAATCAGCGCTATTGAAGCCGTTCTTGTTTTATCTCCCAGCACAAGGGCTGTGCTCCCCGTTTCAGAGGCAGAAGAAATGAATGGCTAATTGGGGGGGTATTGTGCACGGCAGCAGCGTCGTCTCCCGGCCCTGATTGTCGGCTCTCCTGCTCCACGGTGCTTCCAGCTTCCCTCTTGGAGCAGCCACGCAGGCTTTGGGAGTGGAGGGAGGAGAAGGGGAGAATGGGACTGTGCAGCCAGCGCAGCGTGTCAGGGAAACAAAGCCGAGCACGGCCGCCGGTGAGAGCTGGGGGAGGGCTCCTCGCTCAGAAAGGGCAGATGCTGGTGATAATAGAAGAGAATATCCAGCCTTCACCTCCAAATGAGCCCCCGGGTTGTTTTTTCCCTGCCACAGTCCTTCCTCCTGCTCTGGGGAGCGGGTGAGGCTCAGGGGTGCAGCTCCACACGGGTGGGAAGTGCTGGCAGCGGAGGAAGTGGGATAGGTCACGGACTGGAGGGGAGAATGCTGCAGGATCTTTGTCCTGTGGGCAAAGTTTGAGCCGTCCCTGACAATGGATCTTTGTCAGAAAAGCCAGACCATCCCCGGGAGCCACTCCAGCAAGCAGGAAGCAGCGGGAAGAGGGCCCCAAAGCCAGCGCTGCCCACACGAGGAGCATCCAGAGCCCACAGCTCGGTGTGGTGCTGCCAGAACCGGCACCACCACGGGATCCGGGTGGGTTTGGGAGTTCACACCGACAGCACGACATCTTCCATGGAATTCCTGCCTCTGCCTCCCACAGGTACCTTCCAGGAGCTTCCTCGCTGGTGCTGTTTGCTCTGCGGCTCCTCTCTCCACCATCGCCAGGCTGAAAGAGGGCTGCAGAAAACAACAAAACCCAAAGGGTTTGAATCTTCCCATGGATGCTCTTGGGTCACTCACAGATCCACTTCCCCCTGCTCGAGGGAGGGGACCTTGCCCCCAGCTATTGATCAGCTCTGCCCCAGCACGCTCAGCTGATGCTCAGAGCAAAGGTTGTAACCAATCCTCTCTGCAGCTCTGCCAGCTGCAGGCAAAAAGGGTTTCATTCCAGGATGTTTAACAACAACACGAAGCAAACAAGTCTCAAGACATCAGGTTTGTCACGGAATTGGATGTAACATTATAATCCTTATCGTAAATCAGAGCAGAATAAAGCACTAGCAAGCCCTGAAGTTAAAGGACAAGTGACAACCTCTTCTCTACCCCTTTTGGCCCCAAATCAAAAGATCAGCCACAAAATTGTAAAATGAAATTGTAAAATCAAAGGAGATTTTATTAAGAGCAAGTGTTATTAAAAGTGAGGTTCTTTTTGCTTTCATCTGAGTTTATGATTCATTTCTCCCTTCTAAGCTTTTCTCTGCAACCAGCAGAGCATAAAATACACTTCAACAAAGAAAACAAAACAAGAAAACATAATTCTCATGTTACCACCTGATTCCAAGGGCCGAGGTTTTACCAAAAAGAGAAAGATTGCCATTAAGTAAGTTGATAACATTGCAGTAGGGTGAGAGGAACAAACTTAGAACTATCTGGGATTGTCAGCTTTTGACTGAGGGTGGTGAGGCCCTGGGATGGAATTCCCAGAGCAGCTGGGGCTGCCACTGGATCCCTGAAAGTGTCCAAGGCCAGGCTGGATGGGATTTGGAGCATCCCAGACAGTGGAAGGTGTCCCTGCTCATGGAAGGGTGTAGAATGATGAGATTTAAAGTCCTTCCAATTCAAACCGGTCTGGCATCTTGTCAGTCTGTGGTTGTCAACAGGTCTGTCCTTGGGGCCGTTCCTCTTCCAGCCCCTGTCCCCTGGGCCAGGCGGGTTCTGTCCATCCCAGGCGGCTCTCCAGGGAGCTCCACTCCCTGTCGCCACTATTCTACCGACATCTGGTGGCAGCTGCCTTAGGGAAAAGCGACATTTCCTCAGCAGCGCCCTGCGCCCCCTCAGCGGGAACTCCCTGTGGGGCTGTGTCGTCTCTGAGGGGACCCCCGAAACACTGCCCGGGACACGCACCTCAGTCCTCTCATGAGACCAGCGGGTGTCTGGGAGCTCCAATTAGCCATTGATGATAATCACTGGGTGTTCCGAGCGGCGCTTCCAGGGGTTTGCGGGGGTTTATTTTGAGGTCGCCGTGAAGGAGGTCCGCGTCCCCTCAGCCACCATGGCGGGAACATGAGGCATTGCTAGCCAAAGCCTCACATGGCGGGTTTCCGTAGTGTAGCGGTTATCACGTTCGCCTCACACGCGAAAGGTCCCCGGTTCGATCCCGGGCGGAAACACCTGTTTTTTTCCTTCGTCTTGGGGTGGTTTTTGTGTCTGTTCATTTCCTTGTTGTTTTGGTTAAGGGGGCTTAAGTTTTTGGTTTGGTTTTTTCTTTTGTGTTTTTTCTTAATTTATTTATTCTGAATTATGTATTTATTTCCCCGCCGTCTCCTCACGACTCGGAAAGAGAAGTAACCGGCAGCACTCGCCCCATCGCTGACCAGCGCCCGCCTCCCGCCAGGGCTCAAGTGGGCAAAGGGCAGCCGGGCGGGCGCTCTGCGCGCCGGTGCATCTCAATTCGGTTCGGATCAATGAGAAACGGGGAAAAAAAAAAAAAGATAATGGAGAAGGAAAAAAAAAAAAAAAAAAAGGAAGTTGCGTTGGCCGGGAATCGAACCCGGGTCAACTGCTTGGAAGGCAGCTATGCTAACCACTATACCACCAACGCCCGCTGATAGGAGCCTTCCTGGCTTCCCTCAGAAACATCACTCTGCGGGACCCAATTATTCTTCTGAAGCAGGAAGCACAGTGCAACGAAAGATGAGAATGGTTTCACAGCCGCCCCACGACGGCAATAAATGCTGAATTTGGGGCCCATCTCCGAGGGAGAGAAGGCTCTTTTCTCCGTGCTTTTTTTACCCTGTTTCAGCCTCAATTCTCTCCGTGCCCACCCTCTCCAAGAAGGTGTTGCACGCTCTGCCCAGGGAGGCGGCAGACTCACCGTCCCTGGAGGCGTTTAAGGACAGACTTAGCTCCATGGTCTGGATGATAAAGTGAGTATCGGTCATTGTTGCACTGGATGACCTCAGAGAGCTTTTTCCGACACCTAATGTGTTAATTTTCTAACAGCTCCGTACTCCGGCAGGCATCTCCCTCCCGCTAGAGGCACTGGTTCCTCCCGTGCCGCCCGGGCGCGCGCCCGCGCGCTCCCGCCACTTCCGCCGCCGGGTGAGAGGTCGCGCCGTGGCCGCCGCCGCCCCCGCGCCCCCGTTTCCGGGGCTGCCCCGCGCCCGGGACATGGAGCGGCACTGACGAAGCCGCCGCCGCTCCCTCCCTCCCCCGCCCTCCCTCCCGCGCAGGAGCCGCCCCCACCCCCGCCCGACACGGGGAGGTCGCCGCGCCCCGCGGTGAGTGAGGAGGGGAGGGGGGGATGGCGGGGACGGAGGGTCCCGCCCCGGCACGGGCATGGCTGGGTGGGGCCCACGCCCGTGAGGGGTGGCTGAGGCGGGCGGGGAGCGCTTTCCCGCTCCGTGGGCCGCATCCCCGCTGCCCGGGGCGGGGGGTGCCCGGGGATTGCGGTGTTTGCCCCTTCCGAGGGTTCTTTCCCCCCTAGGCATGGCGGCGGCCTCTCCTTGCCCCGGGGGGCGTGTGCGCGCCCGGGTTAGGCCCAGGCCTGGCCCTCGGCGTGGTTTGCAGTTCACTTCCCCCATAGGCTGCCCATGGATGGGGTGATGTGGGGTCCCTGCCCTTGGAGGAGGTCCCGTGTGCCCGCAGCAGCCCCCGCTGGGCGCAGGAGGGTGAGGGGCTGCTCGCTGCCCTTGCACGGGAAGGAGCCACGAGGGGCACGGGATGCTCCATCCCCGGGGATTCCCCCTCTCCTGCTGTCCCGAATCCCGGCCTTTCCTCCGCACCAAGGGCAGAGCTCCCGGCGAGAGCTGCAGAGGGACACGGGCTGCTGGCAGCCTTTGCCAGAGCTCATCCTTCTCTGGAGAAATCTCCACAGCTTTATCGCACCCTCGGTGCTTTAATTTTTGGAGATCTTAAAGCTCCCGGCCACGTTGTAAGGGCTCCTGTAGGTGACTTTGTTCCTGTGTTCCGTTGGCTCTTCCCGAATGATTCATGCTGGTTCCTGATCTCTTTTGTGTATTTTGCTCATTTTCTTGGGTTTTTTTTCCCAGTTCGAGATTTTACCGTTCCTTCCCTGTGTGAAATGTGTGATCTGGGCTGGGTGCAATGAGGGTGAAGATGTTCCTCATTAAAATCACAGAGCAGCCGAGCCTGGCAGGACCTGGGGAAGTCTCTGGTCCAACCCCTGCTCAAGGCAGGGTCAGCTGGGAGATCAGACCAGGTTACTCAGCATTCCTGAGCATCGCTCTGCTGCCCTTCGTGCCTGCATCAAAAACTGCCCTTAAACTGCTGAACTCTGCTGCTTCCTCCCTCTCTGCCCTCCTCTGCAGCAGAGGACTTTCTTTGTGAGGCTTTGTCTCTCCTGGTCCCCTGCTAGTGCGCTTTTGGTGGAGGAATGGCTGTTTGGGGAGAGCGGGAGCCTCGACAAAAGGCAGTGGTGGGTCTTGAGTGTGTCTGTGATTCAGAGCTAAAGACTTTTGTACTTGGGGAGACAGGACAGCAGTGAAGCACCTTCCTGTGCTCCTGGAGAGCAGATTGGTGTGGGGAGCCAGGGTTCCTCGTGACAGCAGGCTGAGGGAGCAGAATTCAGGCTTGGAAGATAAATGTGGTTTTTATGTCCCAGGTGGAACTGTGACCCTCTGGCTGGCTCCTTATGGTGTGTCCTTTGTTTGACTCTTCCCTCTAAGAGTATGGACCAGACCTCTGTTTTATCAGATTTTAGTGCTTGATACTTGTAGGAATTCCAGGATTTTGGGAAGGGGATGACAGAAAGGTTCAGTATTCAAGATTCTCGGATTTTAAGAATTTTCTGGGAAGGAACGAGGCACACCACAGAGTTCACAGGGCCTCGTTGTTCAGATGAACTCTCTCATATTTATCAGGGCTGTTCAAACCCAGGCTGACAGAACAGATTTGGACCAAGGAATGAAACCCAAGGATTCCCCACTCAGCTGGAAATGTGACCTATGGAAGATGCTTTTACCCAGCAGTTGTATGAAATCTCCTTTCTCCCCTCTTCCTCCCCAGTTTCCTGTCCTGCCCAGCTCTCTGAGTAGTTAATGCAGAAGATAAAGAGGGTTCGTCTGGAAAACGAGACTGCAGGAAGTTGGAGAAGGTATGTCCAGGCCCCCGTGTGGCCTCTGTGCACTGTGGGACAGAACAGCCATCACCTCTGCACTGACAGAAACCCCATCTGTACAGTCCTGCCCAGGGAGCTGTGTCAGGATCTGTGAGTCAGGAAGTGACTCAGGACAATAACTTGTTTCACTCACTTCCAGTATTGAGCTTTACAGTTTTTTTTCTGGGTTCTGATTTCCCACCTGTGCTTGTTGTCCCCTCCAGACTAACACCTTGCTCAGAGGAGGGCTTGGTGGCTCACCCACCTCACCTGACAGGGCACAAAGGGCATTATGAGACCCCCAAGGGGCAGCTCCATGTTTTTGGGGGTGGAGAGAGCAGTGATCCTGCAACAGCTCTGAGTCATCTCAGTCCCTGCCTCAGCATGGGGCAGAAGGGACAGGGCCACTCCAGCAAGATGGAAATCTTCTGTGTGCTGTTGCTGCCTGTCTAAGATGGTTAATAACTGGTGTCTTGATCCAGCTCACGTTTGAGTAATGTAATCCCCAAATCTACTCTGAGATAAGTTACTCCATGCACTTATTTACTTACGTACACGGCGTTGCCAAACACTGACTACGACTTTTTCAGAGGTGGCTGCAGTGACAGAGGCAGAAATCTGAGTTTCCTTTTACTCTCTATCATGCCAGGACCTAAGTTTTAGGAGTTTTTTTTTTTCCCTTCTAGTGGGAGGTATCCCTGCCCATGGCAGGGGTTTGGAATTAGATGATCATTAAGGTTGCTTCCAGTTCAAACCATTCTGTGATTTTCTGAGAGTCCACCAAACTCCAGCAGTGGCAGTGGTAATTCTCAACACTCTCACCTCAGTTTGTGTGGTGGCTACTGTGCTTATCCCACTTCCCCACTCCATTCTAGTGTCGAAATCACCAGGATGAGAACAGTGCCAAGCTTGGAGCTGTGCAGTTCACATGATAAAATCATGGCAGTATATTCTGGAAGGGGCTCCAGGCTCCAGTTCAGCTGGGGACAGGTACCAGTATCACATTTGTGGATTGGTTTTAAAGGTTAAACTTGCACTTGTGAGGAGCCAGCCTGGCTGAGTGAGATGGATTCATCAGCTGGGTGAGAGTTGGCCAGGCTTTGTGTGCTAAAGCCAGGGTATTTAACTGGCTGAGTTGACCTGCAGTGGGATGGGGTTGGGAGAATTGCTCTCAGTTTATGCATTTTCATGGTCTTTCTGTCATGTGTTTCTGACAGGCAGCACTTCTGCCTTCAGCTGTGATTTTAGCTGCTGCAGTGGAGAGCCTGGATACAGGCAGAGGCCACAGACACACAGTCTTAAAACATCCCACATCTCTTTTGTGGTTTCACTTGGGCTTCCTGCCTGCCTTTGATTGGAAAATACTCCTCTTTATCCATTTTCAAGCTGTGGATTTACTGCTGGGCAGTAGGTACCAGGAGTACCTAAAGAATTATTTTAGGATCTTGTTCTTGTGTTACTATTGGCACATTTTGTACAATTTTGGGACTTAAGAGTCTGAGGAGATGTTACGTTTTCAGCCCTTGCACAAGGCTGATTCTGTTTCCTTGGAGTAAAATTATCCAAGCTTATTTTGTGCAGTAAACTGAAGTTCTTCTGAAATTCTCTATAACATTCTTTCAGGTACCTCCAAAACCCCTCAAGTGTCCTCTTGGAGGGACATCCTGCTTCTCAAGTGGGGTGTCAGAAACAGGTTTCCCTAGTCCTCAGCTCATTCCTGCTTTGCAGTGGATGACATCACTGACCTTGGGCAAGTCTGTGGGTCCACCTCACCCCAAATTAACATTTGTGTTAATTGTGGAGGTGGTTCTTATCCTCTCCTTCCACACCTGCTCACTTGGAAATCTCTGAGGAATGTGTCCCACGTTTCTCAGGATACAACCAGGGTCTGCTACTGCTGCCTTCTCTCTCTTAGCAAATCACTTGCACTTTTTTTTCCTGATTTCCCATCTCTCTTACATCATTCCTGGCCTCAGTATCTCCTCAGGTGAGTGAATGGGTCTGAACCTCTCTCCCCAAGTGATGGGCAGGTTTTCCTTTGGGATAGGAAGGGGATTCCACTTCTGTGGTCTCACAGGTCAGGAGTTTTTGTGCCTTTATGATAGCTCATAACTTTGATGACATATCCATACGAATTCCTGGAGTGGTTTTCCTTTGAGTCAAGCTGCTTGTTGTCTGCACCAGATCTGCTGCTTGAGCTTCCTTTAACAGCTTATTCTAGAGCCAGCCCTGGGAGAGGGAGTTCTCTGAGGTCAATATCTTCATTTACAGGACTCCATATGGGATGGGAGATGGACTTTTCCTTTCAGTGTGTTTAAAATGTAATCCTTGAGTGCAGAGAATCCCAGAGATCTGTAGTTTAAGGAGCACCTGCTTGATTTTGAGGCTCAATTCTGTCCCTCTACTCCTCCCTCAGTTTTTTGCCCAGCTCTGAAGGGGAAGCGAGGATGACTGCAGTGGACACGCTCTCGGACAGCTCCGAAGTGGTCGAGATGGAGGATGTGCCTTCCCAATTCCAGGTGCAAAAGCATTCTTGGGATGGGCTGCGTGACATTATTCACAGCAGCAGGAAGTACTCGGGCATGATAGTGAACAAAGCTCCCCATGATTTCCAGTTTGTCCGGAAAACAGAGGAGTCCAGCCCGCACTCTCACCGCCTCTATTACCTGGGTAAGCCTCGTGCCAGCACTGGGGGAACGTGGGGCTCTTCCAAACTCAGCAGGGAAGGGGAGGGGTGGGAGAGATCTCCCTCTGTGAGATTTGGGAACTGAGATTGGCTCAGGGCCTGCAGGATCTTCTGCAAAGCCTGGGACTGAGCAGGGACTCCCCAGTGCCAGACAAGCCTCGAACACAGGGATCAGCTGTGACAAGAGGAAGCGTTGGCTAGCCAGCCCTTCTGTGTCCTTTGTCACGCAGGGGATGGGCCAAGAGAAGGGACTGCCTCGTGCCTCTGTAGCTTGGGAGAAGTGGGATTTACTTGCTTCATTAACCAGACTGACTTTCCAAGAAATTCGCTGCCAGTAATGACTAATTACGTGTTGCAACATATTAATG